AAACCCCATGAAAGATGTATGTTATTTAAAAAAATCGACATGGTTTTTGGACTATGGGGGGGGCGCCATTATTTTATGTGCACAGTACATTCTGTGTCGATGACGTCAAATGGTTGCACTCGGTGAGCTACTGGCGCTTATTTCTATAGTCTTTGGCTTTTTACTGCAACACAACTCAGAAAATAAAATACTGATACGATATCACATTGTGTGACTTTTGGTTGTAATTTTCAGTCGAAGGGCAACAAGAGAAGCAATGCAAGACTTCACAAGAAGAGGAGAAAAGAATGGGAAGATGCCTTTGGACGAATAAAACTTCCTAAAGACCCTTCTTTTTTTACTCCACTTTAGTCCTGATGCCTTTGAGTCTTTTTGTAGACCACAGCTACTGAAAGAGCTTACAAAGGCTGAGAAACGCTATGTCACCCTGTAAACATGCCGACGCTAATCATGCGGCCGCTAGAGGAGTTTCTCAGGGCAGATTTTCCTCGAGATCCGGGGCGTTTAGACTCCATGTGGGGAAAAAATCGACGGTACAGCATTTGGTTTAAGCCTATGCTTATCCGTCTCCACCTGTAAGCTCTTTCAGTAGCTGTGGTCATCATAACAGTATTTTATTTTCTGAGTTGTCTATTCCGAGTTGGGTTGTGGTAAAATTAGCAACAGGTAGCGGCGGTAGCTCACCGAGTGCAACCATTTTACGTCATCAGAATAATGGCGCCCCCCATAGTCCAAAATATGTATAAAACGATGTGATTTTTAAAATAACATAAATCTTTAATGGGTCTTCTACTACATATTTCAGGAAGAGACATCATTTACGTTATATTAAGCCATACAAGTCTTAATACCCAGGGATCCCTTTAACACAAACATATAAATATATTATAGTATTGGTTGCGTGTTAATAGTGTGAGGTAAATGGAATTCCATATGTTTTCAATCCAGCAACCATTAAATAGAACATTAATTCACACTGAACTAAAAGAACACCTAAAATGCTGAAAAAAATTGCCTCTTCATTTTAGGAGATCAACACATGTGACTGCACTTTACCCACTGAATCTGTCCCCATTTCACTCCAGCCAGCTATGAATATCTGAGAGAATTCTGTGTACATCACATATTTTATTACAATAAGTAAGCATTATTTATCAGCCTATCATGCATAAGCAGAAATTCTACCAGGTGCAGGATACCAACGCTTAGTCCCTTCGCTCTCCACTGCTCTGTCTCATCTGCTTAATTTATTCATTTGTTGCCATGAATTATGAAGGAATTACTCCAAACAGGCAATGCTACGCAAACATATTTTAATTAATAAACATCTACAGTGGGGCCCGAAAGTCTGAGACCATGTAAAAAAAACAAAAGCAAAAAAAAAAAAAAACAGGGTTTCTTCTGTTTAAGCTTGGAAATAAAGAACTTTTGAAGATTCTTTTTACAATTCTAAATAAAAAAACACATTATGATGTAAAAGGAAATTTTCTGAAATGATTTTGCATAAAAACAAACAAACAAATAAATAAAAACATTTTCAACAAATGATCTCAGATTTTGGGATCCTACACTTTGGAATTGAAGATCCTACACTTAGGGATCAATCTTTGGAATAAAGGCAACTAATATGATTGAAAATACTTTTGTTGGTAATTAAAAAAACTGAATTCCTAAGTGATGGGCAAAATATAATAGGATTATTCAGTTAGACATCCTGCTCATATACTGTATTACTCTGGTCCAGAGACAGAATGGAGATATATGTGAGCAAAGCACCATGGGAGACATTCTATCGACCCGCATAGCCAAGACTTAAGCTATTAATTATCTTTGTTTGTTTGTTTCTGCCTTTCTTTCTCATTCCCTGTTGTCCCTTTTCTTTCATCTTGGCACTTGCTCTTTCTCTACGCCCTGGACAGATGTGCAAACACTCCCATGAAGCTATAAGGAGACGGCATGGCACTGCAGTGATGCTCATGGTTATTCATATCACGGCCATCAAGTCTCACGCCACGTGGGAGTGGTCTGGATAGCCAAAGTTACATAATGGGGCCTTTTTATATGGTGTATGAATAAAAACATAAAGCATGAATAAATGCACATAACTGTCACCATTCCTTCTGTCCATATCCAACCACCAGCAATGAGTTACAACAAATCTTGGAGGTGCTATTAGCATTTTTCTTCTGAAGTACTTTATACTAGCATATTACAGCTAGATTTGTTATATCTTGTTATAATATTCCTCGGCTAGGATCGTGTAGAGCTCTTTGAAGCTGCACTGAAACTGCAATTTGGACCTTCAGTCCATTGGCCACCATTTAAGTCCATTATATGGAGTAAAATCCTGCATCCTGGAATGTTTTCCTCAAAAACCTTAATTTCTTTGTGACTGAAGAAAGAAAGACATGAACATCTTGGATGGCATGGAGATTAGTCAATTATCAGGAAATGTTTATTCTGGAAGTGAACTAATCCTTTAAAGCTGCATTTTTAGCAGCATCAAATGTAACCGCAATATAACAATTAAAGAAATGTGGATATGTCTGAAAAAATTCAAACATATCATCCATTCAGTAATAACTATATATCTTAACTCTCAATAAATAAATAATTTTTCCTGACTACTCAAACAAACCAATGCTCTACTACAGAGTCTCAGTGTTTACTCCATATATTTTATAGCTGTCTGTGCACTTAATGCTGAGGTGGGGGAAATTATTTTAATCTACAAATTATAAATAGCTAAATTTCTGAAACTCATGGTATGAATTATATATGACTTTTCTATCAGCAAAAGTAAATATGACCTTTGGAAAATGAACTATTGACTACTTTTCTCAGCTCTTCTTTTGATGAACATGACTTCCACAATTACATTCCAAACAGAACAGTTTCTTATTAATTCAACATTATATAAATGCAAGCCCATTTTTCATTTCATGGTTTTTAAATGTTCCCTCACTTCCAAATGTATTGTCTTTCCTATTGGTGAACGCAATTTGATACATTCACATGAAACTTGCTCTCCATTCTCAAGCAGTAGAGCAGTTCTAAGAACAAAGATTTTCTGGATCACTTATTTAACTAACAAATGCACTAATGAGTTAATCCATTACGCACTGCCCATCTACAATCATGCAAAAAGTATTTGGCCACATGTTTTTAAGCCAGGGTGTATTTTGAGCCCCGTTGTTCCTGTTAAAAGGGAAGTGGGATTTTTCTACAATGGAGCCTGAAAAGAAATTTTCTACAGTAAGTGTGACTGGAAGCATGCAAAGTTGGCAATTATACTTCATCAACTGTTGTTCACTTCCACAATTTATTCCAACTCTGAACTGTGAGTTCACAAGAACCACACCTCAGATTTACTTTTCAAGAGTTATATTTCAAACCAAGCAAACAAACTTGAGCTTTTGGAGCAGAGTGGGAAAGCACCCTGATTCTCCATTCATGAGGAAGGGCCAGATCTCAGGATAGAATATTGGAGAAGAACATGTGTTGATAGCCTCAATACATAGGAGAAAGCATGGACACGTGAGGAGGACACTGTTAGAGAAAAGAAAGGAGTATGACTCCTCAAGTATGAGGAGTATGATCTCCCCAAGAACTTCCTCTAGGCAGTTTTGAGTATTCTCACAAAGACTAGTCATATAACTTGACTAGAACAATTTTAGCTTCTATCTGTTTGCATTCACCAGTGCTTGAGGGTTATGAAAACTTTTTAAGATCCAAATAACTGTACAATGTGATGAATGACAAACTCTATATTAAATATTTAATGTAGCATCTAAATTTTTAACAAATTATACTGACTGCATTAAAATCTGTTTCCCTGATCTATGTGCAGTGCAAACGTTCTGTAGATATTTCCCAGTGACAAAAACCTGGGTCCCTCTGTTGGTTCCAGCCTGTCAGCTAAGCTTAACCTGAAGCACTAGTGACAACAACAGACTTGGAAACTCGGGAAAAAATTTAGAAGGAAATCAATGGTTGAACTCAGTATTCTTTCGCACAAATCGCAAGACCACTTTCCCCTGGAGTACACTTGAAGTTTCATTTCTCAGGAAGGAAATGCAGTTGGGAAGGAAATGCTCTGGAAAATATTGCTGCTTTTGATAAGCTTAAAGTATGGGATTCATTTCACAAAACAACTAGATCTGCATTTGCAGAAACAAATATCAGTCCTTTCAAGGCAACAGAATAGTGTTAAGGCTGTAGGGTAAAATGTCATAAACTAAAATTTGATAGAGGAAGAAAGGAAAAGAGATAAATAGCAATATGCAATACAGACGCATTAACAGATGCCAGAAAGAAGTCCATTGCAATTTATTATGCAAAATCGGATGGGGACTGTACATTAAGTTTGAGTTTCAGTTAATTGCTGAAAACTGTGGAGAAGAAAAACAAAAAGGAAACCATTGTAAAACCATTTTGTTTTTTTGTTTTTTGTTTTTTGTGTGTGTGTGTTTTTTGAGTCATTTAAGTAGGACTTAAGTACGTCTGTAAATTCAAAATTATTTCTATTATTTATTTATTTATTATGTTTAAACTGACAAATATACTGACCAGCATTTATGGTAAACTTTATTTTCTGTTGAAACCTTTATGTCCTGTATTTAAATATATTTGCAAATACACAACTCTAATGCAAAAAAACACAATTTAGTACATTTAAAATATATTTATTTGTATTTCATTAATATTATCTTTACCATTACCATTACCATTTTTTTTAAATATATACTTTTAAGAATTGAAGTACACTGCACATTCAATAAAACTGCACATACATTCACAAGGGAATACCAGTGCAAATATGCAAATACTGTGGTTGGTCGCTTTTTTCCTGTCAGACCCTCTCTTCCTGTCTGAGTGGGTAGTTCTTGGCCATAATAAGCTACAATGAAGACCACACAGTGCTGCATGATGCAATTTGGACTAAGTGAGACTATCAAATTTAAAAACTATTCCCAAACTGAATGAAAACACACTCTTACCCTCTTCCCGAGATTTCTGGATGAAGGCGTCCACGCCACTCTCTCCGTAATTCCCTTCCGATGCCACCGTGGAGACGTAATTCCAGCGCATGGCCCTGACAATATCTACCATAGCCTGTGCCTGATAGGTGTCCGGCGGTACCACGCGGGAGAAGAAGTCATAGCGGGTGTTGTCACTCAGCTCAGGAGCCGTGGAGGCATAACTCACCTGGGGAATCTGTAGGAGGAGACAGAAACATTAATCCCATTCAGGCATTGAAGTACACAATTCCCCAAAACCCCTGCTGCTTCTGAGCTCACCTCTGACAGATTATAACATGCTCCATCATACCAGACTAAATCCATCCCCTACCAAGCTCTCTCTTACACAGCCACAGGTGGTACACTCAAGACCGCGGGGATGAGCGCGGTCCATTCTGAAATAAGTTGTGCGTGGAAAGCAGCAACAAGCTGGTCAACAACTACCAGACTTTTACAGACTAATTTACAGGAATCCCAATGAGATGAGAGTCTCTTAAAGGAATAGTTCACTTCAAGTATAATTTTCTGCTTTATTTACTCACCCTCATGTCTCTCCAAACCCACATTAACTTTGTTTTTTTGGTGGAATTCAAAAAGTGAATTTCTGAAGAATATCGTGGCATTGACATCTGCTTTAGCTCTCTTTGGCATGTTCACTAGAGTTCATGAGAGACATCTGACTTGTGAATGAATCATTATTTTGAGTTGGATCATCTGATTCGCTTCACAAAACTGTTTGGAATGATTCTGATTCTTGACCTTAGCTTTCGACTCAATGAGCTGGTCATAGTGATCAGATTTTCAGCTTCAATTTCAGTGTCACACAGTATAACTTTAGAAAGCGTGCAATACACAATTCATATGGACTACTTTTACTTTTACTTTTACTGTGTTTATGAATAATTCAAAACAACCCAATAGATTTAGGCCCTTCAAAATGTCATCTTCTGAGTTCTGAGGGAAAAAATGAGGACATGAGAGTGAGTAAATTATGATTAAGGTTGAACTAACCCCTTAAGGGTCTCCTTGGCTGAATCGTGTTGAGAATTCGTACACAGGCTACACCGAACAACAGAGACACAAATCAGGCGTGATGTGAAACTTAAGAAATCACCATAAAATGGATCGCTGGTGATGCTCGGAATACATTAAGCTAATGTCAGACATAACATAATGGATGGTGGCTTGCACCACCAAGAATGTAATTTATACATGTTTATTAACTTGGCTATTGTGAACATACTCTGGCTTTTAAGCACACTCTCTGCAGACATAATACCAGTGGTATGGCTCCATTAAAAGGAATCATAAATTCATCTGCGTAGAGGACAACAAAATATCAGTCAAAACAATAAACAAATGAGAGGCTCTTTCTAAATCAAACAAACTGCAGGTCAATCATCGTCCACCTTGATATTGGCTAGTAACATTTATTGAGAATATCTAAAAAATTAAGCTTGAACCATAATTTTTCATACAGCATGTTTTAGATAATATTTTCTTACATAATAGAAACCAACTAGTTTACAAATAAAATAAGTGTGTGAATTTCTTTTCAATGTTTTTACAGTTGCGTTGAGGTAGACTTACATAACGCTGAATGTCTCCTATAATGGATCAATTTTGCCTTAGATTTAACTTAAATAAGCATTATGTCATCATTTCAAATGCCTTTCTCAAGCATTTATCAATGAAATCAAATCATGCATGAAAACTAATTCAGGAACATAGATGCAAATCTTAAAATAAAATACTGGAATGTAAATATTGCATCCTAATGTAGAGCTATAGATAGATTAATATGCATAGTAATGCCTCTGGGTAGCTAGTGGTCTTGCTCTTCATACAATAATTTTGCAGGTCAGAGGAATAGCGACAGGCTGAATGAATTCCTGTAAAGCAGCTCTTACTGCCTGGCAGGTCACGCAATGCTGGCATTCAGTGAGCAAATATGATACTAAAAATATAAAAATAATGTTTTCATCATTCTGTTTTTCAATGTCTGGTGACTTATCTTGAGTGAACATTGCATTGGATGGGAAATACCCACACCTGCATGTCTGCAGAGGGTGCATGACTTTGGTAAGGACCACACACATCTGTACAATTAATAAATAGCTGTAGACCAAAACAACAATATTAAATAAATAAATAAAAATAAATAAAAGAAAATAAATAAAAAGAAAAATATTCATTCAATAGTCGTCACCAATACCAGCATAATTGTATAATTCTTGGTACCACTGCAAAAACAAATATGCTACTGAACAAAGCTTTTTATTTGTAAAGTTAATTATTAATATAAATAATAAAAAAAATCAATTAAAATTGACTATAGTCTTCACATTTTCTTCAAGGTAGTAGCAAATTAAATACAAATAAAAAAGAATGATGAAGCAAAGACAGCTTTGAGTTTTTGCAGGTATCTAACAGCAGTTTCAAGTATTCAAGAAATTTCCAGATAAATATCCAAATAAATATTAAAAAAAGGTAATAATATATATTTTTAAAGTATCGTAGGTCTATTCTCAGTGGGTAAAGCAAAATACTTTTTCATATATTTACATCACCATGAAAACATGAACCGCCTATAAGAAGATCTGTTACGCTGATACAGTATATTTGCAGCACATGTTGATGTTTTCAGCCAGGGATGTGCTAAAATATATGTATACAAATTCTGTCAGGGCCAATAACTTAATGCATTACTCAACAGAGAAGAAGCTAACTCACATGGCATCGAATGTGACAAGTACAGATGGACGTGTGCACGCCAAGTAATGAAGAATCAAAATATTGCTGAAGCATTCTGACTGACATTACTCTGCATGACACAAAGACATTTTCAAGGCTTTTCTTTTCTGTAGCTAAACCAACAGCTGTAAAATTATCATTTCTGTTAATGTTAAAGAAAACCATTTGTCAGGATTGAAAAAAATCTTGTTTATAATGCTGCATTTGACCCAACACCAAACCTTGGCATCGCTGAATTATTTGTAAATGTCATTGAAATGGTTCAAGTCACCCTGCTGATTTCTTCAACAAAGATTTATTTAATATTCTACACTGAAATGAGGGACAGAAAGAGGATTGTGAAGGATCTCTTTTCTTTGTGTCCAAACCTCTGAGGAGTTCTTGAAAAGAGGACCAAAGGTTACAGCTGTTGCTTCTCCTAACATGTGCATGTCAGAAGAAATTTAAAATAAGATTTATTAAACACACGGTCTAGGTGAAGGGCACCTAATCATAGGCGGCAGCTTTGTATGAAATTAATGTGACTATGCACTGCTCTGAGCCATGTGCTTATGCATACACGTTTGCATAATTATGTTTGACTGGTATATGCAAAGGTCAGAACTTGCGTTTGTCTAATAAATAGCCATATGCAATGTGCATTTATTGTAGTTCTTTAGATCAAGTACTGTGTCTCAATGCACTGTTTGCTATCATTAGATGAAGTGAATGCAATTATAACATCTAAATACTGCGGTTTCATCTGTCAACGAATGAGCAAAACACAAGAAATATGCTACTTGTATCTGGTGCCGATGACATTGGGAGACCCAGAAGAGGTTTGTGGACAAACTAATTTGAAACAAATATCCTTCTTCCATATCTAACGACTTCTCAACTGGTATCAGCTGTTGTTTACACTGATAGTCACATCTGTTACTGTCAAGCTGAGCAGGGCAGCAAATGGCTTAACTGTGAGAACAGAATGACAAAAAACGCTGCGTAATTATTGAACAAAACAGATTCGAACATACTATAGCCAATTTTCTGAGAATATTTGCCCAAATAATTAGAGAGGAGAAGCGTCGGCCTAAATATAGAGAGCATCGAGCTACACCTTATTTCTTAAATCACTACATCCCAAATGTTGTAATTGCATTGCAGAATCAATGGCTTTTTAGCCACACCGCATGCCCAGACAAGCCCATTGACAAAACGGCAGTATCTCTGGTGCTAACAGAGGCATTTAGAAACTCAATCCTCCCTTTTTCAAGGCCGCAAGCTAATTGAAAAATCTGCTGGTGTATTGGCCGAGCTTCCCTCACATCTGACAGTTTGACAATCTGTTCTGACATCAATGGCATGTTTCTGTAGTGACTTCCATTCACAAGTGAATTACTTTGTCTCCAAACGTTGTTCTCAACTAGTTTGATTTTATAGATATCAACTGGCAACTGGTTTCCCTAAAATATTAATATTAATAATAATAATAAAATGTATAAATGTGTTATATTGGGACTAACATGTTATTGCAAAACATTTATTTTATGTGGAAGTTATTGCATGTTTATTATATATATATATATATATATATATATATATATATATATATACACAATATACCAAAAATTGTAACACTGAATATAAATATATAAACAAATAAGCGATCATAATATTTAATAAATATAATATGATATAATTTATATGTTTATAATAATTATTATATTGATTTATTTATATTTTGTATAATAATTCTTGTTCTAAATAAGTCTGAAAGGATTTTTTGGTATATGAACTTTTGTTACACAGGTAAAAATGTATGATAGTTTTTTTTTTTTTTAAATACAATTAAACAAGTCACATTCTAATGTACAGGGGGAAAAAAAGTTGTATTATTAACTTTTATTATTTTAAAGCTTCAAAAACACTTTTTGTCTTTGAATCACACACACACACACACACACACACACACACACACACACACACACACACACAC